ACAGAGCTTTCCTGCACCTTCATATTTTCAGTCTGCACTATAGGATCATTTAAAATAACTGCCCTGTTTTTAGTACATCATAATTTTAACCATGTTTACACCTGTACTGTTCTAGTTTATTGACAGCAATGCTTATGAATTAGGTAAATCATTATCAATTCTTCACGAGTCTGTGTGTTGACATTCTCGTAGATGACAGCTCCATGAGTCATCTGACTCAGAGAATGTGTGCTTATCTTTTCACCATCTCACCCACGGAATAAGAATAAAGACACTGTGTCCATGTGGCTAATAGCTCCTACATCCATTTCCATGGCCTGTGTGCATATGCATGTGATTATTGGTTGCCGCAATGTGCTGAGGCTGTTCTGTTGTGTAAGTTTAGCTACCCCCTGCACAGCTCCCCTAAAGTAGCCCATCCCCCACCCGAGACATTTTTGCTCTCGATGTGTGACTACATTACGCTTCCCCTCCCCCACTGAGTGAGCCTTCTGAGCTGGTCCCTGGGGTGGGTGTCGGTGTGGAAGGTAGGCCTTTTTCCCTGTCCATGGGATGTTATTGATGAGGTGAGGTAATGGATCTCCCCGCTGTGCTCACAGGGACACTGAGGATAAATCAGACAGTGGGTAAGACCCAACCAGCCATTCCACCTTTCTCCAGACTCAAGTGCCATTTCATTAGTTTTATTTATGGGGGTTCTGCACTCTTCTGAACCCCTCCCCTTTCTTTCCTCCCACCGAAAATACCGCTATTCTTCTTATTCCTCCCTTATATAGTGCTATGGCAACCCATATACACCCCAGTCCTTCTTTCCTCCTTTTTTTCCCCTGGAAATCCTAGTATTCTCCCTCCCACACATCTTCCTGGGAACTTTTCCCCACCTAAGTCTGGTTTATGTGGAAGTGAAGAGGTGAGCAGCTTGTGAGCCTGTAGCCTGTTATCATGCAATGGACAAAAGGCTGAATAGGTAGTGATGTGCTCTGAAGTGGTAGAGGACTCAGCACTGGCAGAGCTTTTAACATTAGATGCAGGATTGCAAGTCCATCCAGCTCAGCACTTCCTGCAGAGCTGTATTTGAGTTGGCTGAGCAGCAGCTATTCACCTCTGGGCTTATGGCTCAGACACTTAGCAAGAAACTGCAGCCAAAACCAGCTTTGTCCTTGAGGGAAGAGAAAGGAATTCCTCATGTGTCCTTGCTGGAAGGGACTAACTGCACTCTTATCTTCATGACTGGATCAAATGTCAATTTTTTTTTTTTTGTCAGAGGTCGTGGCCATTATTGGTAGGCAGACTTGTTCCATTCTGCTTGAAAAGGGTCAACACGCTGTCATCTCACCTCCATATCCATGCTTGCAGAATCCCACTTTGATTCCCTTCAGCTCTTTCATCAACTGCCAAGCTTTATCACACAACTCGGCATCATGCGCTGAAGAAAGTCCACAACGCCATGACCTGGTTTCATCTTTAAAAGGCATCAGTGTTATCTGTCTGTAGATGTTGTGGCATATGATCAGAGAGCTAATATCTAGGCTGACTAACTATTTAATATTTGTGAAAAGATTAAATATGCCAAAATTTGATCTGTGTGTGAATGCTGACATACATGCATAACATATGTTGTATCATGTCTCTGTATCTTAAAGCACTGAGACCTGGATTAGACATGAAAGGCAGTGAATCATAGTCTCTTCGCATGTTTTTTCCATTAGAAAGAGACAGGGATGGGGAGGGGGTGGTGGTGGGGTGGTGGGGTTGTTCGTTTCATGGTGAACATTGATGTCATGACAGTCATGCTAGAACATGTCCATACAAGGTCCACTCTGGTTTACTCCGCATGAATCCATACAACCTAACAGATGGTTGACTGCGCTAAGCTCCTGCATTGCTGTGCTACTGCCAATTTCATTACAGGGGTTCACTTGGACATGGGACAAGTGTGAACATGTCTGTCACACCCATGGCCGCCAGTGACACCGAAGAAATCCGAGCACGATGAAAACAGAGGACACATGACATCACGACATGGCTCTTATTACCTTTTCAGATTTGTTACTGAAGCACATCCGTCTGTATGAGATATGCTAATTGATCATTTCATTGCAATTTAAAAGAAAGTTGCAACTCCTGCAAGTGGTGTGTACGTTACTGCACAGATTTAAACTAAATTCAAACCAATATCAGGGATTAAACAAATGCTATTGAAATACAAGAATATGTGATGTAACAAAGACACAACATATTCCAACTTTGGATTATGTTTTGTCTCAACAGTAAAAATTAGTCTACATATGATCTTGATAAAAGGAAGGAAAGGGAAAAATGAGAGAAAAGTGTGTGCTGGCGGTCGGCCAGTGTGGACAGACTCAGGAAGTTAAGCCGGAATTCCAACAATGCAGGCAGTCGTTAGGCTCTCCAGTGAGATGCTGCCATTTCTGCTTTCAGTGCTGTCTTTGTTGTGGCAAGGAGGAGGCAGTTAGGTGAAGTCCTGTGGCTGTGAATAAATTTCAGCCCTGACTTTGCATTGTAAACCCAGACTAATTTGTTAATGATACGAGGAAAACACTGTCATGATTGAGCAGATAGAAAAAAACAGGCTCCTCTCTCACTTTCTGTCTCTCCCTCTGCCTGTGATATCTACAGAGAAAGATAATTTTTCCCATGCTGTTTGACTCGAGCCCAGTCGTGACAATAATAAATGCCAGCGATGGCAGAATGAATTATGTCTCAGCTAAAAATGTACATCATGGCCAAAGGAAGAACCTGGCATGTAATTATATGAGTGTTATAAATAGCAACACGTGCCACATAGTATCCATCATCTTCATCTGAAAATCACATTATACATGGAACACATGATTCCAGTCAGAGATATTTCATGTTTATTGGAATATGCATAGATTGTATGTTTCTGATTTGGTTGTGCTTCAAAGTCTAAGTGAACATGCTTTAAGATCTACCCCTGAAGACAACAGAAAACAAAGAATGGCAGAGTGTAATAATGTGTTTCTAATCAGCCACAGTTTGGGAAGATGGCACCAGCAAAAGAATATTTGAATTTGTAATCAAAGCCGATCATTCACAAAGGGGAGCTCCGTTAATCTGGTAGACTCCGGATGGCAGCTCATCTTTTAAGAGGGCTGTTTTGATGAGGATTTTCCCTCCAGCCTCCTCTCTGTTTTGAAGGACTGTCTGTTGCTCATCTTTTATTTCAGAACTGTAATGACTGTCTGCAGTGCATCCATCAACTGACAGCCTTTGAAATCTCTGAAGTCTGCTTAGCTGATGTAGTCATTCCCAGTGGTGTGTTTCATGTGGGCTCTGGCTCCATTGAAACAATCCTCTCTTGTTCTTTTGAGTAAGTCGAAGAAGAGATGCCTCAGGTGTTTCCCCCTGAAGTGGACTGCAAATTTATTAATGCAGTCATTGAAAGTGTCCCTTGTTCAGATATGAAGTATTTACTGGTTGTGAGATTTGAGGATCTCAGGAAAATTCATCTGTCCATTTGTGCTTTGTCTGAAGCTCCATTTAACTCCACAGGGGATCTGGCTACAGATGAAACACAGCTGTTGACATCAAAACTGGCAAGCGAGAAACATTTGTGCTTTATCAGTGAGCTGACAAATTGGGCATTGCAGAGATAGGGGATAGATTATACCGACAGATGCCTGGGTCCAGAAAGCCCCGCTGAAATAAACAGTTCTCTTTCCTGCTCTGTGATGGTGGATGAATAGATGGTGGTTAGAGGGGATCTTCCAAACCACAGAGCAGAAAGAAAAACATGGGGAAGAAAAACAATCCCATCTGACATCATAGGAAAGGCTGCCGCTAAAATTTAGGTCAAGATATAGTCTGCCTGAAGTGTGCCAGATAGTTATATGGCAAAGTCAGGTTGCCAATGTCTTGTCCAAGTTGAATGACTTAATACATAACTAAAATTATACAATATACAATTAATTGAAACTAATTACCTTCGCCTGTCAAAACCAGGATTATGTAGCAGCAGGTTTCTTACTTTAATGAGCCGCACTGACTGATTTAAATGTTTTTGAACAAAATCTTTTCTGTGAGTGAAATAGCAGCAATATGGGTGGCGGTTTTAGAAGCCAGGGTAGCAGTGTGAAGCAGACAAAGAGGTTTCAGCCCATTTACAGAGCACAGGCTTCAGCAGAGTCATCAACTATGTACACAGCATGGGATGTTGTGGTCTCCCAAATACTATCCTTCAGTGTTAAGTCACTGTATTCACAGCTTGTACTTCTCCATGGGCATCAAGCAGCACAGATGTAGACTTCCTGGAGTGTCAACGCTTCAACTGACCCCTTGAGTTCAGGCTGGGGCAGGGAGGGAGGGAGAAAGAGAGAATACAGAAGGTTTTGTCCTCTTAGCTGTAGTGTGAGGGACAATATATTTTTTTGATGATATGACAATGTGTGCCAACTATATATTTGAACAGCAGGAATGTAGTGATTCAGGTGATGGTAAACCTAAACACTAAGTTTACTAGTGAGTGTTTTGAGTTTAATATAAGCATAGACAGAACATTTTTGCGCTGTAAGACATAGATGAAAATTAAAGCAACATATAGCCTATACTTTACTTTCGTAGAGAAATGCAAAAATCAGCAATTGCTTGGTGTAAGCTTTTTAGATAATCCGATCATATGTATAGCATACAGAAATCTATAAAGAAATATGTTTAAATAGATGATATGTGCAGAAATAGGCTCTGTACAGGTCATGAGCAGGAGTGGAGATCAGGCATAGGCAGATCCTAAGAATTTTTTGTTTTGTTTTGGTGTCTTATGATAATCACTGACTTTAAGACTACATCACTATATCACCGAATTTGTTGTGGCCATGGGAAATGTGCAGTCATTGAGTAAAGAGGAGGGGCGAGAGAGCATGCGGACCTATTGAGAGAGAGAGGCGGTTCAGCCCCGCTATGGTCTCACCAGCAGCGGCTCAGGGAGTAGTACCAGACCACTGTGTTGTGCAGGAACAGGCACGACATAGCTGAAAACCGCCAGCGGAACAAATGAAAACGAACACTACTCTTTCGTGTGGATTAATTCAGGGGCGAGACACTCAATCGAAGCGAGAAGCTCTTTAAGCGAAATTGGACCCACTGACGAGGATTGGGACATTAGCTACTGTACGATAACACCGCCGAATGGTTTCTCTTGCCCCGCCGCTAAGGTTAGTTAGCTTCCATGGCTGGCTGTCCGTTGGTTTGGGCAGGGGGGGGGGTCTGTCTGTTCTGTTGTTGGACGACGGGGTCCGGCTATTATTTGGAGGAGAAACATACATAGCAGTATTGACCTTTTCGAGGCTATACGTTGTGTTCAGCTACACGGGTCGTCGAACCTTTGAGAAATGTAATGTTAGAGAACAGTCCAACTAGCTGTTTGCTCACCTCACTACAATACTCTTAGTTGTCTGGTTACCATCAGCTAGTTAATTATTTTATAAATCAGGAACACGTGCTACATGGCTAGGCTATGCTAGCCAACGGCTAACGGTGCTAGCTACCTAAGCTAGCTGTCAGAACTGCGGAGTAGCTAACGCTAATTTTGTTGTACAGAATTAAACCTACATTGGTGTTCTGTAGGTAAACACACAATTCCACTCATAACGCTACCATTTCCTACTTTTGATAAATAATGTCAACTGTCTACTATTTGTCAATATATTGTGATGTCTGGCTAACTTGGTTAGCCTGCTAACTTAGCTGTGCACAAAAGCGTCCGGTTTGCGTTTGTAAACATGGATTTAATATGAAGTTGACTTATTGTGAACTGTCGATATTTAAACTAACGTTAGCTGGCACCGCATTGCTTTGTTGTCAGATGGGTGATAAGCCGTGATTTGTTCATTATACTGGTCTAATCAGCTTGATGTCATGTCACAGATCCTAGTAAATGGGACCGACAGGTGAGTTAGCGTTAAATGGCTGTTTGTCTCGGATTGATAAGTTGCTGTTGTGACAATGTACTTGCTTTCGAGTTGGATTGTGCTTTTCAACCTTAGTCCATTTCTATAACTTGAACGTAATTTGTTGGTGGGCTGCGTAAGATTTACTTCTATTAATGATAGATGTCCTTTTGTACAAGCAAGCGTTATTGTTAAGACGGTCTCCCTTGCCAACTGAGCGATGTCAAACTTTTAGAGCAGGCACATCTTTACAGACACGTTGTTTGACATATTAATAGACAGACTCTGTGTAATGCCAAGGGACAGAACATTACCTCAAATTATATGGTCATTATTACACAAAAGTAAACATGTATTGCTGTGGGAAAGAGAGGATGTCTGTTTTTGTCAGCTGCCCAATCTCTGCTGCCACTTCCATGATAAGCAGTCGGATACAATATACTTTTTGGATGTGACTTTGCAGTTTGAGAACGTTTCTTTGCATCATAATCACTGCCTCTGGACATGAAGGTGACTGAATTTAAATTGTGACACAGCCAAATCTACCTGTGAGTGAAGGTTTCAGTGAATACACAGTTGTATTTTGCATTAACTTATTATAGCATTGCACTAACATCCAAGAAAACATCTTACTCCAAAATACAGTACTTCCTCACATTTTTTATGAGGTATGTGTCACTCATATCTTTATAGCTTTGACCCTCTGAAAATAAGTCACATACACTGGGCAACGAGTTACATTTTTCATTCAGAGGATGTTTACATCAATTTAAAGCTTAAGTTGTTGTGTTAATTTTATTTATCTTGTAGAGGAATATCTTGAATTGATGGGATTGTCAACATTTGTATGGCTGGGGCACTTAATGTGACACCTATTATGAAGTTAAGTGCATTTTGATCCTCATTTGAACTAGCGCCCATTGAGCTTCACCAGAAGTCAAACAAAAGATGACATACTCAAGCACTTTATTGGAACTGCTGTCATTTCTTTTTGCTGAGAAGTTTGTTCACCCAAAACAGAAACATTTTTTTCACTTACCACCCTTTGGTGGTATCTAGCCATATACAGGTTTTGAGACATCTGTCTCTGAAACATCTGTTGCCAGCCCAAAACAGTGGATGTAACTGGATATGTGGCAACACCTGAAAACCTGGTAGGGTTAAACTGAAACTGTCTGCATAGCTAGATACCATTAGTAGTTATAGTTTTTTATGACTTTGGTGAACTCTTTTTGTTTATGTAACCCAGGGATTCCCCCTGGAAATGGTTTAGACAAGGTGGTTGACCATGATCTTGATGTATCTCATCTGGTGATCCACTTAGCAGCTGATGACCTCTAAACAATAACCACACTCAGTAAATACATAGAATTTGCTGATTGTGGCCCACCTCAGCTAGAAAGCACTAAAAATAACACAGCATCATCAAGAGGTATGTTGGGGCTTGGTTGCCAGTATCAATTGATAGATGTTTTGAGATCACTCGGCTGAGTGTAATATTTTTCTACAAACATCTTTATTTAGTTATTACCCTTCCATTTGTCTTAATATGGTTCCTTCTTGTGTGTGTGTGTGTGTGTGTGTGTGTGTGTGTGTGTGTGTGTGTGTGTGTGTGTGTGTGTGTGTGTGTGTGTGTGTGTGTGTGTTGATTTTTGGAATACGCCACAATTCTCGAATGCATCAGTGTTTACAGTTGCCTTTACACAGACTGAATACAACAACTTCCCCTAAATAAATTCCAAGAGAATATATAAATAAAGTAATGGTTCAAATAAGGAAGTATCTGAACAAAGGATCATTTTGAATCTGAACAAACATTTGGCTCCAAGTTTGTCTAGCTGACAGTTTGGTTCATTTGTGATATGGGAACAGTTTAGTTAGCGCTTAAACATACAGTTGTCAGGTATAATACTAAGTAATTGTGCCTGGAGACAATTGGTGTAACAGGGCTGACAAGGCGTTCTAGAGAGCACAAAGTCTGCTTATAATCCATAACACTGTGACATTGCTGCCTTGAGTTATGTGCACTCACAGTACATCGGTGGCTTTGCAGTTTGGACTGTAAAGAGTTAAATGAGAGTGAGGAGATATCTCCCCCTTATCCAAAAGGGTAATGGGGGCAAAGATAATCCTGTGCTCAGTGTGGTGCCCCAGGGAGACTATTTCACTGCTAGTTCAATTTCTGCTCATATTATGAAACACAACATAGTTATGAAACTGGAAAGGGGAGAGGTCTTGCTCATTTTATTGTCTGTAAAAAGATAAATCCTCACAGTGAATTCTTGTGAGAAGAAAAAGCATGTTGCATCATCACGAATTATAAAAGATTTCCATAAAAATTCAATCTCTGCCCTTCAAAGTCATAAATGTCATGAATTGTCACCTTTCTTTGTCACTGTCAGAGAGGTGGTTCACTGTTATTGTAATTAAAAATCCAGCAATCAAATAAGAGTATTTTGTAGTGCTTATATATGTTTTTTTTGTTTGTTTTTTTAAAGAGCAAGAGTAAAATTAAGAGGAATTTACTAGACCAGCCCTGTAAAATAAACAGTTGTTTTTATTGTACAAAACATATAACCATTTTTTATTGTTTCTTAGCAGTTATGAGCAAGTAATGAAAATACCATATAGACCAGTCATAAAAACACAACCTACAAGAATGTTGCTCAAGCTGCATTGCTGCAACATTTGCTTCAGTGGAATATACAACTCCTGCTCTATACTGCCAGATACAACTGCTTTTCTACTTGTGTAATGTGATGTCCCTTACAGTACAAATGGCATGATGCTGTTTTCCACTGACAGATACTAGCTTTCTGGTACACAACACCAGAAAAGTGGTTTGTGCAATTATGTAAAACATTGGGGAAATGTTTTGTTTATGCTTTGCCTGTTATTTTATGTGGGGAATGTAACCTGTTCATGTGCGTTCTTGATTGTGACTGCTACCCTGTGAAGATAACTAGCTAGACAGCCTCTCTAACGCTTCTTTTTCCCCATCCCAAATCGAGTTTGAGTGCTTCACACCATGCCATACTGTGCTGACAGCAAGCTCCAAAAACCAAATGGCTACGTTTAGTTATTAGAAATGGTTCAGGTTTAGACAAGCTTGTTAGGAACCATACACAGCCTGTATGCAAGAGCTCTCTGAGAAGACAAGTTGTGGTGTAAGAAAGCCTCCTTACCTTAATCGATGATTTCTTGATTTTTACTTGAGCTTGGTCAGCCAACATGCATGAATCAACATCCTGGTTCGACCTGCTGAATGACAGGTGATAAGAACTGACTAGAGTCAATGATGTTTGGCCACCTACAGCCAAACACAACCTGTCTGCTTGGTGTTTCAGGGCCATAAGATATTATTTTGCTTTTCATGTAGCTTTTGTTGAAATATCATCCTGGATTTCAGATGATTAGTAGGTTGGATTTGACAATAAATCACAAGTCACCATCTTCCCTAGCTGTGTTATTTCAGCTTTAATCTGTATCAAAGGTGAGTTTCTGTGATTTGGGTAAATCCAGTCATGGTTCTATTTAGATTTAAGTGTTTTACAAGTGAGCACTTCACGCTGTATATTGAACTGAAATTTTATCTTTACTGTAATAACAGCACATGAAACAATGAGTATAGGGAAGTGACACAAGTTTGGTATGTTGCGGTGCACTTTATGAACCCTTAAGTTGACATGCAGACCCAAAGAGGGAAATATGAGGCAGTCACCGTGAAACTGCCTTCCAGGCGCATTCCCTCCCAGTATCCCTCTCACTGAATGAGTAACAGCAGCTGTCTAGCATTTCTTGCTCACCAGTGGACTGCACCTGGTAGGTTTCGTGTGTGGAGAATGTTATGCTTGCCTCAGTGTGGTAGAATATTATGATCAAGCACAGCTGGTCTGTTGCACTGCCTCAAATTACTCGCAATCAAAGTGCCATTGAACTGGACAGAGTGCCACCTCAGTTAGTGGCTGCATTGGGGCTGAAGTTATACTGTTTTTTGGGATTACCAAATGGAAAAATCATGATTGTGAGATGTTTGAGAAACCCATGCAGATGCTTCAAGCCTATAGCCTCGTGATTTTTTCCTCCTCTTTAATACCCTCTCACTTTGAAATTTAGGATGCAGTTGTAAGGATGTAGTCGTCAAAGGGTATGTGTGCCTGCTGGCCTAGGAGTTAGTTAGGTCACTGATTCTGTCTCACTCTGTAGAGCTCAAAAAAGCTGTGGGATATATCTGTTGCTAACACAAAATCAGTGAATTCTCACAC